ATGTGACGTGATAAGCATATAGTTGTAGAATTCTTATCAATGGTAAATAACAATTCCTTAACTATGAAATGCAATGTTGCAATCATTTATATTGTAAATTGGATCAAAATAAATGTTACTAATATCTTTACTTAATTCTGTATGGTTAACGATAGTACGATTTGCTACTGCAAAATTACACCATAATTGATTTTTAAAACAAAAATAACTGAGTAACGGTCAGTTAATTGTAGATTGCACAACTAATATGATATTAGGCATTGTGCGCCTTAAAAGAACATGTTCCAAACGCTTCATGCTTGCTTCTCGTGTAACATGTAAGTGTGCGGGCAGTAAACCATTATGTGCAGTAAGTGTAAGGTATCATTCCGTTGGTATGCTAGGATTATCTGAGATAATATAATATCAAGATTATGGAATCCAACTCATGCTATATTACTATAACAGGCAATATTTATTTATTTATTTAATTTATTTATTTAACAAACTTTATTGACCATTGAATTGGTACAAAAGGCGGACTTAATGCTATTAGCATTCTCTACCAGTCAACCTTTGGGATACAGAAATACACGATGGCGGCATAAAGTTAACTAATAAATATACTACTTAAACTACACTACAGAAGAATTTATATACAATTACATAAACATAAATAAATATTATACCTATACATATACATAAATACATATACACATACATAAATACATATATGAATTATGATACATATACATATGATGATGATTTTCATAAATGCTCTAAGAGAAAAGTGTGAGCTTTCCGTTTAAAAATGAATTTATTAGGAGATCGTCTGATGGTGTCGGGGAGGCTATTCCACAGTCGTATGGCATGAAGGGTGAAAGAGTCGGCCATAAAGCCAGAATGGAAAAGCGGAGTAGAAAGTGCAAGTGTATTAGCAGAACGCAGTTGTCTGTCATGAGAATCCACAAAGGTATTGAAATTTACATTTAAGGTAATTTGGAGAATTAGGGTTAGAAAGCACGGAAAAGAGCATACAGAGCAGTCGTAGCTGTCTGCGCTGACGAATAGGAAGCCATTTTAGTTGAGACCGATAACACGAAACATGATCATACTTGCGAAGGCAGAAAATAAAACGAATTGCATTGTTGACAAGGCGGTCCAACTTATTAAGAAGATCTTCGTTTAAATCAGGGTAACAGACATCAGCAAAGTCAATGATAGGAAGAATAAGGCAGTGACGAGGGTGACTTTAGTTTTGGTAGGAAGGAAATGTCTGAAGCGATTAAGCGAGCGCAAAGAATAAGTAACCACACGACTGACCTCGGCAACCTGTGATGTCCATCTGAGCTCCGAATCAATATGAAGTCCAAGGTTTTTAACAGTAGAAGTGAAGGGTATTACAGAGTTTTCATACACAACAGGTGGGAGCAGACTAGAATCCAGTTTAATAAGCTGTTTGGAGCTTCCCACCATAATTGGTTGACATTTAGTTGGGTTCACGGAAATCCCAAAATTAGTTGACCATGCACTGACATAAGAGAGAACCTCATTCAATTTGGAAATACCTGTTATGATTTCATCGGTCGTAGTTTGCACATATATTTGCAAATCGTCAGCATAGAAGTGATAAGAACAGCCAAGCGTGAAAGAGAGATGATTAATGAATAAGGAAAAGAGCAGAGGAGAAAGAATCCCCCCTGTGGGACACCAGCCGTCAGATCGTTCCAGGAAGACAATTCACGACCCTTACGTACTGCCTGCTGACGCCCACGAAGATAAGCTGAGAACCATTCCAATGTCAACGACGAAAGGTTAAGGGACTTCAGTACGGCCAGCAGAAGGTCATGGTCGACCATATTAAACGCGTTAGAGAAGTCAATAAGAACAATGATGGTGACCAGTTGCTTCTCCATGCCAGTTCTGATGTCCTCGGTAACTTTCAAGAGGGCAGTTGTTGTGCTGTGCCCAACACGGAAACCAGATTGGAAAGGAGAGAGGATGGAATTAGAATGTATAAAGAAAGATAATTGCTCATGAGCAGCGGCTTCTAAAATCTTAGACTCACATGTGACAACTTTTTTACCTCTCTTTTACTAGCGGGATATTTGAATTCTAAAAACACTAGTATCGTAGGCACTGTAAATAGAGTTCGAAGAGAAATACCGGCATCCGTAAAAACCGCTAAGGAAGAATTATATAAGACCTCTCTCCTGAAAACTGGAGACACAACTTTGACTGTTTATCAGACTAAGCCAAATAAAAATGTTCTAATACTCAGCACTATGCATCAAGACATAACAATAAGTACTAGTTCGAAGAGAAAACCGGAAATAGTGTTATTCTATAATGTTGTAGATTCGATGAGCAGGAAATATACAGTAAAGGCGACTTCTAGACGTTGGCCAGTTCATACATTTTATAATCTGTTAGATTTGGCGACTATAAACGCATGGGTATTGTATAAAATTATCAACAACAGCAAAATTTAACGTAGAGACTTTTTAAACGTAGAGGCTACTGGGAGAAGAATTGGGATCACAGTACATGAATAATAGAAAAACAGCCATTCTTGTGGAAATTCCAGAAAGTATACCAGGAAAACAAGAAAAACGTACAAGGTGTCAGGTCAAGTCAAATTGCACAAGTAATAAGTCATCTGTAAAGTGCCATAGGTGTAAAAAAACTATCTGTAATAAATGCACTGGTAAAGAATATTATTTATGTAATATTTGCCATTGTGATAATAAATAATTTGTAGATTTTTGGAATTTATTACATTATAATTTATATTTATGTTATTTGTGAGGGCTATGAAGTCCCATATGAAGAAGAAAAAAAAAGTTATTAAGTTTTTTTTTAAAAGGATTATTATTTTGATTTTAATAAATAAATAAACATGGTTTGAAGTAAAACCTCACTTTCAATCATCAAACTATTTATTCACTAATTTGCATACATCACACATAGCTATCAATAATCACAACACTTTATTTTATAATTTACACTAGTTGTCACAGCGCGAGCGGAACTAAGACTGCCATGCTTAGGTCGGTTGCTTGCTTATATAGTCGCCATCTTGCACGTGAACGTCATTGTGCGCCGCAAGATGGCGTCACCGGCGTCAACTTCCGGTCGATTAATGTTGATTTCATTAAGTTGCCAACACGGCCATTCTGCAAGGCGTTTGCCCCAGACGCCACAATTTTATGGAATATACTGAAACTGATAATATGAAATTAAATATGAAATAATGTAAATGTCACACGTATAATGTTCAGTCTTCTTAACATGTTCACATACTGATCGCAAACAGAATATTTTGAAACTGAAGACCACTTGCACTTAAAGGGAATTTACCACACTTAAGAGACCAAGTTCGTCTTTGTTTCCGTGACGACTAAACTGAAGACCACTTGCACTTAAAGGGAATTTACCACACTTAAGGGACCAAGTTAGTCTTAGTTTTTGCAACCACTCGCACTCAAAGGGCAATAACCTCACTTAAGCATACCGAGTTGGTTCAACACGTCCTACCTCACTTATATACGAGTCAGTATGTTTACACGCATGAACTATATTTAGGTAACTTATTTATTTACCTTGGAATACCGACGGTTTTAGGTATTTTTAATTTCTATTTATTAAAATAACAAGTCAGTTACAGGAAATATTTAAAAGTTATATGTTATTATTAGTAGTTTAACATATACTTAATAAAGGTGTAAGGTAATGCGGTCATATTGTTACTAATATCACACATAAGTAACTGTTTCCACATTTGTTTGTCTGTTAGAAAACTACTTGCACTTAAAGGGACTCTGCCGCACTTAAGAGACCAAGTTAGTCTTCCACCCTGCACAATAGAGCCACTTGCACTCAAAGGGATATACCCACTTGAGCGTACCAAGTTCACTCACAATTATGCCTATGTACCTTTCAATATGTTTACAACAATTATTAATGTGTGACATAAATATAAGTTAAAGCATTTTATCTTGACTCGCAAACCTTACGTGTATACTCGTATTACTTTATAAACCAAATTGTTATGCCTGATGTAATATTTTACTTGTATACATAATTTTTTTTTTTATGTGTTCTATTTTTAATAAACTATGAATTAGGTAAGATACCAAAAACAGTATATTAAGGTGTTTACCTTGCCAACACGAATATCTATTATATACATAATATAATCACGTAATTATTCAGATTCATTCCAGTTGTCTATTTTAATCCACGGCTTCATATTTTCAGCCGCTATCACGCCAGTATACTTTTTAAAGGATCTTTCACTTCCTTTAAGATCCGTTACCTCATATCTGTCATTTCCCACAAGTTTTTTGACTTTGAATGGACCCAAGTGGTCTAAATGAAGTGTATGAAAAGGTTGAGCATATTTTGGCATTGGAAATAATTCGCCTTCCTTGGCAGGCCCTTTGTTTTTGAAGTATATACAATTTAAACAATTTTTTATGTACTTTTTTATAATACGACGCATGTGGGGAAACCAGTAAAACTTTGATATTCTTTCTACAGTTTTGTCTACAGAAAAATGTCCAATGTCATCATGGTTGTATTTAATTATTTGCCAAATACATTTTTTTGGTACCGACCATCGACGACCCTTTGCTGTTCTTCTGTAAACTTTTGACCCAAGCAATTCGTATTTGTCAAAAACATCTCTATTTTGGTCGGCCTCTCCCGATTCTAAAATTGTGGAAACCAAAATCAATTCTCCCGAATAATTTCTCCAAAATAATTTTAACTGATGAAACAGTACGAAAATTGTGCCTAATATAAATTTGCTTAATTTCAACGCAATAATGGTGTTTTGGAAAGGATAAAATTCGTCAATTATTGTCACAGCGCTTGTTACTTGCTTTAAGAATGTCATGAATTCAATTGCAACTTGTAAAATAATTGTGTCGGAAATAGATAATATTATTAAACGTCATTGACATACAATCCATATGTAACTCGAATCGATTAAATATCAAAGATTATATTATCATTGTGTGGAATCAGCTGAGTTACTATGCAGTTGGTAACATGTAACGTGAATTTGTGCAATTGTTATTTTCGAAAGAAATTTATAATATTGGGAAATATTGCAGTATATATTTGTTATTTGATGACAGTCTACATTTTGTGTAACGTCTTTGTAATTGTTTATTACACACAAATTATTTATGAGGGGTAAAGATATTTTCAAAATATTTTTAAAATAAAGTTAAATATAACGTTATATAGCAACAGTAAAGACAACTTCGGTCAAAAGGAAATTCAATGATGATGAATATCATTAAAAATCATTAAGATAACTATTTTATGCACGAAATATCATAAGCTATTTTCGAGAATAGTTAACTTGCTGACTTTTTTTAAGGAACTTAAGAAGGAACTTATTTTTTATATGTAAAGATTCGCTATACTTATATCGAAGTAACTATGATGTAAGAAAAAATAAAAGGTAATAAAGGCATTTATCTTAACAAAGAATTTTTCTTTAACATTATTCATTATAGATTTGTGGATATAAAGTTAGTCAAATAAAAGGTAGTCACAACCACAATGCATTTTTATTACCCGTTTTACTGTTGTTTATTTAACTGATGATAAAATTATAGACACTCTTTTTCTGCTCAGATAGCAACGACTTCAATTCAGTTCCTGAATTTTTTATCTTCGATTACACATTGCATTATCGTGTCCGTACTCCCCCGATATGTGGTGTTAATGTTCATTGATGGCTGTGAAGCCGAGCAGGACAAACGTGTAGCAAACAATTAGTCTGTGACTCAGTGCGAACATTATCAAGAGCACTCGTGGACGAGATTTGTCAGTACGTTTTCCATTACAGTTATGAGCTGTACGCGTGTTTAGGTAAGAATTAACTTTAACATAAACGCCGTTGGGTTCATTATTATGTGTGACAAAAAAAGTCACACCACAATGATTCGTACAAATAGTGATTCAGATAGAGACTCAACTGGTAACGCATGGGTTTTTGAAGAGATGAAGGTCGTTTTTTATAGTTTTCGTTGTATCACGAGTTGAATACACTATTACTTGTGGATCGACAATGTGAATTTATGACTGTCTTTTTAAACTTAAATCATGCAACAGTAAATCTGTATATTAATTTTTAATAAGTATTTTACTTCTTGATTCGTATCAAAATGTGTTGCATTATATAAAAATTAATGAATGGTCTAGTATGAAATAAAGTTAAGAATGAATTTAGATTGAAAAAATAGCACTTAAGATTAGCAGGTATCAATAAATATTATTACAACCAGGCATCCATTAAATTGATAAAAGCACCAACTTTGTAAACTTTTCTGACTAGATTTGAAAAAATATAATTATTTATTATCAGGAATACTATTTTCTTATTTTATTTTTAGTTATACACGTTTAATAAAACAAAGAGCAACTATTTTAATAATCATGCTTAAGATTTTTTATTCAACAAAGGGATTGAGAATAGAGTGCTTTATTCTCAATCAGGTGTTTTCTTTGATTGCATCAAAATTAATTAATGAAATTAATATCTGATATAATTTTTTGATAAGATACTCTTCATCAATTTTTACGTGGCAGTCAATAGTGTTACAACAAGATAAAAATTTATACTTCACATATAAAATTATACATTAATATTTCTACTTTGTATTATAGAAGCAAGCTTTTTTTATACCGCCAAAAATCACAATTTACTTCTGACTTGAATTTGTTCCAACAAATTCGCACCAAAAAATTGTTGTTTCTTAAGGTTGGATTACACCATAGTCACGACTGTTCCATAATTGTAATTAAAATGAAGGTTTATGTCCAATTTAACAAAGTTTGTCACGCTGACTTTGGAATGCATTGACTATGGAATGCATTGCACCATCCTCTTTCTAGGCTTAGTAAAACAATAACATTAACCAGCGAAACTTAGGCGGCTATAGTTTACAGTTAACCGGTATTCAAACAAATTTTTCTGTAATATAGTCTCTTTTGTTAGTTCTTACTTTTTTATATTTTAATGTTATTAATATTTATACTCAGATACTTAAAACGTCGGTGTATATTAAATAGAAGTACGTTACGTCGGTATCGAAACGTCAGAACTGACATAATTTGTGATATGATATTGAACTTTGTACACTAGATGTAAAATACGTTTTATTCCATGAGATGATTGACGGATCTTCCATCGGATTTGCATCGGCCCTAAATCGATGTCAATGACCATTATATATTCAACACTGTAACTTGTCAACATGCGATACCATTTAAATTGTTTATTACTTTCGCCACCCGATAACGATATGTAATGTAAACAAATTAATAACTTAGTAGTATAAGTACGCATTTTGTTTACAAACAAAATTGTCTGCATAAATTTAAACGAAATTTCAATATGTGACAGTAAACAATATGATCATCATCAGCCCTGTTACATCCCCGCTGCAGGGGCTCAGGATTTCCTTTTGGATGGTTAAGGAGGATGTCCCTCCACGCGGGCCCAATGCGGATTGGAGGGCATTAACGACTGCTGACGTATCCAACGGCTTAACATGTCTTTTGAAGCACGGAGTATCTCAAAATAATATTTTTGTGGTCACACATCCCGTGACCGACCCATGTGAAAGTTGCTCGCGGGCCACGGCGCTTATCAACTACGCCACCGAGATATCTTAGATATCTTACACGCTAGCTTGAATCATCGCATCCGTTATTTTTTAAAAGCCGACATTTGTTTTTTGTGCCAAATTCCAAAGAATATTTTGAACTGTTGCGTGCATTTACATCTACAGTTTTACAACAAGTGACTCAAAAGGAAAGATGTCCTGTCCTATCCTATCGAGGGTGATAATTAAGGATAATATGTTCTTACTAAAAAGCATACTCCACACCCCACTAAATCTACAATACATTTGCTTATAATGATTATCACTGATCGTAAATTAAAACTAAAAAATAAGCCTCGATCCATTTACTATACGATATTCTTAATATTTATAGGGAAGGCTCGTGAGTTCTCCTTGCTTTCTTGGAAACACAAGAAAAATAGTATGTATGAGTTTTTATTTCTCACTAGTCTCAAAACTTGTCAGAATAGGTTTTATGTAGACGATGGAAAAACAAAACAATTTGTGGACACTAAGTATACACTAATATTATAAAAATAAATGAATAGAATTAAAAACAAATCAGCTACATTATACGCAGATGACATGGACTATAATTTACCCGGGAATATAACTGGAAAACAGTACATATTATACAAAGTATAAAACAAAGCAACTTTCCTCTATTTATACTATGAGATCTTTTAAATTATACAAAGGATTTTAATTCGGTTAACATCAATAATAATAATAATAATTTTTATTGAGTAACTACATAGCGTAACAAATCAATTTGCCCTGTCCTCCCAAATTAGGTTGCCCTGTATGTCAGGAGTCAGTGCTCTCTTAAGTATTACATTTTGGCTTATGCAGAATAAAAAATGAAATACCAAAAGAACAAGAGAGATAAAATAAATAAATAAGACTTTTAACATTTACAAATTATTCTATTAGGTTAACCATGCTAGAACCAGGTGTGCGTGTGTGTGTATGTGTGTGTGGGGGGGGGGGTTGTGTGTGTGTGTGTGTGGGTGTGTGTGGGTGTGCGTGTGTGAGTGTGTGTATTTTGTATATTAAAGTGGATATAAGTGAGTACCTATATCGTTGGATTACATTGTAAATGAATGTGCCTAGTGTTATAACTTAAATTCCTAAACCAAGACTAGATTTTCACATTCGTGATAATCGAAATTTTAGCCATTTAAATACTTCTGCTTTAATAATGTAAGGGTTACCTGTTTGGATTTTGACAGCCTTGATGAATTTATTTCCAAGGTCCTCGACCTTGAAAATTATAGTGGCGTTTGGCAAAACCAGTCTTAACTAATGGTAATTTAAATAAATTATTTCTTTTGTTTACATTTAAAGAAGGTGTTGTCTTGTGATAGCTAGTTACACATTTCAATATGTAGGATTGTCGCACGCTTAAAACTTATATTTCATTGTATACATCAATCGTAGGGTGCCTATAAGGTAAGGAAAGTGAAACCTTCAGTACTGCTCTTTGTGCACGTTCAACTTCAATTTGGAACGATTTGCAAGTATATATATTACTCTGTATATTGATTGCATCTGTTCATGGGGTGGTGCCCCATGAACAGATGCAATCAATATACAGAATTTTTACGTATAAAATTCAAGACCACACGGGTGAATTCGCTGACGGAAAGCTAGTATAAATATGTGAATAGCATCTTTGAAGCTAAACTTATAGCAAAACTTATGTCATTTTTATGGACAAGGATTATTACACATTAACAAAAAAAATCGTGTGATATAATTTAATTAATTTATGAATTATTATCATTAATGCATTTAATAAAGACATCTTTACATATGTTATACCTAAATAAAATATAGATGTTATTCTGACATTAAACTAACTTTATTTGATTATTTGTTTTACTGAGTATAATGATTATTTGTAACATTTCAATATAATGTATAAATATTCGTATACAAACTCCGTAACCGATCTACACAAAATGCAACTTTGTGTAACCACATACTTTCTATCTACATTCAACTACAGTGATGAGATATTTATTGAGCTTAGTAGCACATTTATGAATCTAAATCGATACGCTAGTTGTTATATGATATAAAATATTTGTAACTAGGACATCCTAAGTGTGTGAGATTGAGGAAAAATTATTGAACTGTATGTACAGTTCCCGGGAGAAAAGTGAGCTTAATAACTAAAAAATTAAGTAAAAAAGACTTCAGAAACGTGAAATATTATACATATCTAAAAGCCGATAAAAGTTAACGTGAAAATATCATTGAAATTAATAATGTACAGTAACCTAGAATGCGACCGTTTTGAATAGGTTATGAATTAATGAATAATATTATCATTAGTCTTTACGAATTTTATAAAAGTTTAGTGAATATATTAAACCATAGCAGCCATTTTCTCTCTATTCATTTGTCAACTATTACACTTTTAAATCTGGTTCAATTCATATTCAGTTATTGTTATACAAAACTATAACACTTTGTGTTTGTTAGGCGACCTTACACAATATTTCATCAGATAAAAGCAGTGTAATAACTTATTTATTTGAAAAAAATATTTTGTTTATCATATCTTTCATAATTATCTTCAAGTGACCAAATGGATAAGGCGTAAAGGTCGAATGAGCAAGTAAAGTAATATCTTACTTAACTGTTTTAATTTGTTTTACAATGTGTACAGTTATAGACCTTCAAGTTTATAGATTAGTTATCTAGCAGTTTTTCCGCGACTTTTCCCACGTAAATATAGCCTAGAGTTATAGCAGTAAATATAACTTAAGTAAAAATTTTTGGAATCAGTTGTCGTCGAGAAAATTGTTGTCACGGCATAGTGCTTCAATGAAATGTGTCTTTCCTATTCATTTATTCTATATTGCATAATATTTAATTTAAACGCCGGATTTAATGCTAGAGTTATTCTACCTTTAGAAGTAATTTTTATTTTATGACAGTGCCTTGTTTAACGTCGAGTTCAACGCTGTTGATATACTTACATTTTTATATATGTCTCTGTCTGATTTTATTACAAAATAGCACTTGAGATCACGTCATTAATCTATATGTGTGATTATTACTATCGCATTTTTTTTTAAAGTAAACCTTACTCGGAATTTATCGATGATGAAATTTCCATGAATGTAGTGAAACTCTAATGAGTCAATCTCGCGAGAGACGTTCCATGAAAGATGACGTTTCAAATATAAATATCGGTTCATCCTTATTCAAAGTCCTCGTGACCGAGAGACATGTTTATTTTGTATACTTATTTATGTACTTAATTCAACAAAATTTAATTTGTATTTCAAAAAGACTGCTCATATAAAAATTAAATGGTTTTTCACAACAAAGCCCACAGAGCACAGACGCCCTATCACGACAGAATAATCTTTTAAGTAAGCAGATCCGGTCTCGAATTGAAACCTGTCCTCTATACTCCGATTGATGGGCTTTTACCAAGGTGTATAGAAATTAAGAACGTGCGAGTCGGTCTTATACACGAAAGATCCCTCACTATCGCACAATATAATAATCTTTAATGATTAGATAAATAACGAGATACTGCTTCAAATTCAACTTCGAAAACACGTTGCGTATAGGTCGCATTCCGTTTGCGTTATTGAAATAGTGTACAGGGAATAAACTTATTAATTTTCATACCACACAATTTGAACACCTTCAACAATTGACGACCTCTATAGCCTAGTGGTTCGCATGCCGGTTTCAAGGTGTTGCCATCTCTGTGATCACGAATTCGATTCCCCGTCGAGTCGAGAGAAAAATAAACTATCTCGTGTTTATAAACAGTAAGGTTCACAATCAGATCTCAATATTTATTATTTCTACAAAACGAGTTCTTCAAATCTATACTTATTATAAAAGATATAGTTTCCAACTTTGTTTGTATGTAGGGATTAATCTTCGAAAATACTAATCCGAATTCTAACCTTAAGTAAGCCATAACATAAGCGAGTGACATAAGGCTATAACTAACGCGGGCAAAGAGAATCTACAAACATATATTTAAAATATTTTTTTTTGTTACAGTTATTTGAACAGAGATATTTGCAATTGGTCCCGACAAAGGGACTGATGTTGTTAAAAATCAGTAATAAAGAATAATTCACAATGACTACAGAAAAACAGGTATTAGCGTCAAAGAAGATGCAGAAAGTAACAAAATTAATACCCCCTGATGGGGGCTGGGGATGGATGGTCCTCATCGGTACAGCCCTATCGAACGTAAGTAATAATGAATATATTAATTTTTTAGCTCTACCAACGACTGCTGCAATCAAAAAAGGCAACAGTAATTATAAACAGTAAAATAATCAATTGAGCAAACCAATTATAGGTGGACATCGCTTGCTTAGCATTAACTTACAGTGTTGTCATACAATAAAAGAATATTATAATGAATAAAAATAGGATAAAACTAAAAAAACTTCTCTGATAAATATTGATATAATTATTTTAAGTGCATATATATTGCAAGTCTCTGAATTATTATAATTTGGAGCATAATTCAAGAAGGCACTATATCTTTGTCGAATTGATTTCTCTTGATTAACATAAGTAATAATTGTCTTCAAATTATATTTAGAGTAGACACAATTTTATTATATAATGTTTCTTAAGTTAACTTATTTTAAATAGTCAAAATATTACCATTGTGTTTTTAGTTTAAATCAATTTTGAGTAAGCTGTTTTTACGAGTAAAGTTCATAGTAAATAGGTTGTTCTTTGTACGTCGTTTATAAATATTTGTTCTAAAGCTTTGTTGTTATTCTTGAAACGGATCTTTAGATAATACTTTTTATCAACTCTTGATTACCGGGTATCAACAAGGTTAAAAAATATAGGTATATATTTGTTATTATTTTCAAACTAAGTTTTTAATAATTCTACTTGGACTAATACATCATATACAATTAGTGAATAACAAATTTTGAGTCGAAAAATCAACTACTCTAGACTAGCTTTGTACGCCCTACTTCACCCCCATATTGGTTTAATTTTTCAAAAATTTACTTTGTGACTTTATATGACCATTATGATATCTAAAAATATGTCAAATTCAAAGCTCAATTCATCCATTCATTTAAAATGTGTGTTGATAGATCGACCAGTCAGTCACCTTTGTTTTATTTATAAATATAGGTATACTCCTTTTTTTAAAGTTATCATACTAATTTTTAACGTTTTTTAACTAATATTGCTCACAGATTGTCAATCAATCTCTGCTGTCTCTATTCAGCTTGCTATATGGCGGTGCACTTGAAGCCATGGGACATAAAACGAAAGGAGCGGCCGTTGTACTAAGCACAATGTTATTTGTTGCGAACTTCGGTGGGCCCATCGCTGGAGTTCTCGTTAAACTATCCTCAGCTAGAATGGTAGCAGTCGCTGGGGCATGCTCATGTACACTGGGCATATTTTTCAGTGGATTTTCAACAAGCCTTTGGCACCTCACTGTAACTTACGGAGTATTATTGGGTAAGTTGACGTAATAGCTATACAAAGATAACATTAAAATATTACACTAGATAACCCATCCAAAGTCCATACTGTTACTTGCCACACTATTTACTTCGTCGATATTGATAAATGAAACAAATTCGCAGGCCTGGGACTGGGCTTCATACAGAATTCGTCGTTTGTGGCCATAAATAGCTACTTCAAGCTGAGAAAGAGCCGCGCTGTGGGCCTTGCTAACGTGGGAACAGGTGTGGGTCAAACCTTAATGCCTCACTTAGTTAGATACCTTCTCGAGACTTATGGCTTCACAGGTGCCTGCTTGATCCTGTCCTCTTTGAGTTTACATGGGGTAATGAAAATATCCGATTTATTTTATTACGCGTATGCAATCTTAATGTCTCTTTATTTTTATAATTATCAATTTACGCTTATCAACTTATATCTAATGTAAGTTTTAATTTTTGTAAAGCTACGAAGGTGATCGTTCATATGTCAGCATGCATGTACCGGCCACATGACACGCAACGGATTCCATTAAAAATACCTATGAAGTCATCAGCATAATTTCGGCGTAAATACTGCAGAGGACATATGACTTCGAGAAATCCGTGCAATGCGTTGCATGTCGTGTATCCGTCGCGTGCCTGATGAGGCAGTGGACGAGCGTCTTTAGGAACGCTTTAAGAAAATTATGTCAATAAAGTCATTATTTTCAACTAAGAGCGATAAATATATTATTACTAAATTATATAATGTGTAACTATATAAATTAATAATTTTACAGATAGCTGGAACTTTACTTATACAACCAGTAGAATGGCACATGAAAAAAGTTGAAGAAGAAATAGAGGTTGATGAGACGGCACAGTTGTTAGAAGATAAACACAAGGACATTGTGATCAGGAAAAATTCCAATACTCGTAATGAAGTCACAAATGTGTTAGGACGACGAGCCACGGAACCAAATATCAAACAACAAAATGGATCCCAGAATGTAGTGTATGACAAAAAATCTGAGAGCGTCAACAATGTCAATGTTGCTCTTAATTTGAGGAATGGTTAGTTCACACAAAAGTAATGGTAACTAAACACTCAGTATTAAGCTTTCACTCCTGAAGGGCGCTCCTATTGCGCTCAGCAGGACGTTCAAGTTCAACGTGACTTCTATATATAATATCGGCGTATGTTAATTAGTTTACAGTAGAGGACCTGCTGAGATCCGTTTGATGTCGTATAGAAAATCTATACGACATCAAACGGACATTTAATATTAGATTTCGTTATAATACACACATCACCAGACTATTACTGTACCCACTATTGGGGTTCAGGTCTTCCCTATGCATGAAATCGAATTAATTCGAATAGGGCGAATGTGCCATCACCCACCACACGGGCCCGGTGCATATTGGTGGGTATTTACGACTGCAGATATTACCAACCAACGGCTTAACGTGCCCTCCGCACGAAGGAGCTGGAAACGATAAATTTTTGGTCACCCATCCTATGAACGGCCACTGTGAAAGTAGCTTAACGACCGTATCGCAGACCGAGTGCGCTAACCATTGCGCCATCGAGCTCGTCATATATTTCATTATATATAGGATACAAATAACTACTCTGAAATATATGACCTATTAAGGAGTAAATCACTAGTCAATTAAATCCCATTATGAAATCGTATTGGAATATTTCGAACTACTACTATCTGTTTATTAATTTAATTAAATGGAAACGATAATGATGTTTGCGTTCTCATACCTTATTGTTTAACCCAAATATTATTTCCATAATTCTTTTACAAATAATTTAGCTACTCTAATATTATTTTCTTTTGTTTTCTCTTTAGAAAATGTCGCTGTACCTACACCAGCTGAGAAAAAAAGTTTGCTTAGGAAAATGTATGATTTATTCGATATATCATTATTATCGAGTCCTAGGTTCTTAAATATCATTATCGGCACGGCGCTTTCTGTTACGTCCATTCAAAATTTCAGCATGCTGTATCCATTCTTCTTACAGGTACTCAATCAGATTTATATTCTTCATATGGTAACATAGTTGGACATAAGATGCAAAACTATTATGACAGTAAATTGCTCACTCTCGTGTCATTTATATAGATTGTGGGTTTTTATATTTAGAAATAATCCTATTAATATTATAAATGTGAAAGTTACTTTGTTTGAATGTTTAGATGTTTGGATGTTTGTACGTCAATCACGCCGAAACTACTGAACGGATTTTGATGAAATATGGTATACAGATAGGTTAGCTGACTTAGATAATAGGATACTTTTTATCCCACTTAACATTTCCCTAGGGTCCACGTGGGCGAAGCCGCTGGCAAAAGCTAGTAATATATAAGTATATAAAAAGAATAGTAGGAAATTATATGAAAATGTGATATTGCTTCAGGCTATAAATAACCTAATATTTCCGACGAAATTGTCTGTTGCAATCACATCGAAAGATGTTACTTGGATTAAAATTAGTTTAAATTATAACAGACGTAAGGAACTAAAGTTCGGAAGGGTGACTTTTAACGTACTTATACTATGTCATTATAATTTTTCCAGAAAGTTGCACATTTGGATATGAACCAGACAGCAATATGTATGTCTGCAGTAGCAGGAGCGGATATAGCCGGCCGTCTTATATTACCAATATTCCAAGATAAATATAAAATCAAGGCCCGATGGATGCTTATCATGACGAGCGTATGGTTGATCGTCATCAGACAAAGTAAGTCACACAAATAACTTGACCTCGAATGAGTTTGAAAAACACTCAAATAAGTGGAACAAAACAGGAATGTAAAAATATTTCCGATAATAATGACGAATTATTGGCACAAGATTGTAGAAGTTCAAGTATATCGGTATTTAATTACTTAAGGAGGACAGACGAGAATACACACATCTTAGAGTCCAAATAGTATGTAATAATAAGACTTATTAAACAGTTACGTGTTCATATTATTATCAATTTATTTATTGTTTAACAACACTTATAACAAATTTGAAAAGTTGGTAACTGTATATATTATTAAAGAAGACGCTATAGAAACCTTGATAATTAAAACTTATTGATAATATAGCAGCATATGAGGTTACAAAGGGTCGAAAGTTAGATTTTAATTTTGAATCCAACAATCAACGTATTAAGGTCTAAAAGCCAGATTAGTTGTTTACTTTAATTTTATTATCTCAATGAAGACAAGAAGTCCATTTTATAGTTCATCCTCCTAATAGATAGTAAGCTAACCAAAGACGTTATTTTTCAGTACTGGCGTACCAAACTGATTTCGTATTTCTAATTGCTATGTCCTGTCTCTACGGCTTTGGAAGAAGTATGATTATTGTTGCAAGAAACATAGCTATCTCAGAGCATTGTAGGCAAGAGCAAGTGCCAGCCGCAGTGGGACTCGGCATGTTAACCATGGGAATTATAGTACCACCAGCAGGATATTTCTTAGGATGGATCAGAGATTACACGGAAAGTTACATCATCTGCATAACAGCGCAAAATATTTTACTTGTCATATTACTCGTAACATGGCTACCAGATATGCTTTTGTTGTGGATACAAGAAAAGAGAGAGAACAAAAAAGACTTACACCAAATTCAGTTATCGTGAAAGTGAGTCGAAATAACGTTTTGAAATAGATTGCATTCTATCTAGAAGCAAATGAGATAGGAAAACTCTGATTATTTCATAAGGTGAAGAGCCTTAAAAAATGTGGCTGTGATTATAAAATGGCGTGAAGAACTTATAGGGAAATTGATACTTAAGAATGTTACCAGTTAAAGGAGTCCGTTTTATGTTGAATATTAAAGAAAAAAAAAATTAAAATATATGACGTATTTCCCAGTCGAGTATAATGAATGTTATTTCTCTAGTCTTATTTTAAAGATAATAGAAGAATTTGTAATGTTTCTGTTTTTCTTTTCTCGGTAAGCGACATCCACGATAATCTACGACTACTGGTATAAATACTAGTGATAATCCTTATTATGCTGATAAAAATATGTTTACACAATGTCAAGAAAACGATTAAGTTTTTATAGTAAATATATGACCAGAATTTGAAGGGTTCAACGAATCTCAAGTTAAACAAGCTCGATGGGTAAACAAGCAAAATATAAAGGTGCTAGTAGCTTTCATAAATATACAACAGATAATGTGTGTAACGGTCGCAGCGATCACTGCCAAAACATCTCATGTTTTATGCAAAAGTGACACCGGTGGAGCCCTGATAATATGTGAAATCGCCGCCTTTACACATGTGGCCAATAACTATACATATGTTGTGGTTGGCATCAGCTTTTTGGCATGAAATCATTGTCGATTCGAGAAATTAAGTAACTTGCAAATACGTAAGGCTTAAATACTAGCTTAGGTAGAATATTTAATTTCAGAAGGCCTGCAATGATTCTCCGAAAACGGTTACACTACTCCAAATAATAATTATTTAAGATACGAGTGCGGAAAGTAAGGTTTTACGATTAAGGGCCAAATTGAAAACACGAGCGTAGCAAGGGTTTTCATTGGCACGAATTCGAAAAACCTTTTACGCTCAAGTTTCTTACAACATTTTTCAATGCTTTTTGCGAGGAAATAAAACAAATATATAGGTTAATAAAACTAAGTATGTATCAAAGGTAAAAATTATTTGTTAAAATTAAACGTAATATTTGAACATGTTTTCGTGTCATACTCGAAAAACCTTTTACGCTCAAGTTTCTTACAACATTTTTCAATGCTTTTTGCGAGGAAATAAAACAAATATATAGGTTAATAAAACTAAGTATGTATTAAAGGTAAAAATTATTTGTTAAAATTAAACGTGATATTTGAACATGTTTTCGTGTCATACATTTTTATTTGAATATACGTTCTAGACTCCTTGAAATACTTTTGCCTCTAAAGTTTGACATATTTTCGTCATTTTTTTTTTAATTTCTTTGGTGCTCGGCCAAAAAAATTAAAAAAAAAACTTTTTAGCATGTGTGCAGTAAAGGATTTCAGTACATTTTTATTTAACACGTGTTTAAAGACTCACTTTCGGTGTTTACAATGGATTAAAAAAATAGCGCTATATGAGCAACTGCATTGAAAACATATTTAATGATAAATTTATGATGCAATGGAGGTGGGATCTGATATTGCCTCTGATGCACAGATATTCTTCTAGGATATAATCCTATTATTATAATATCATAAATGTGAAAGTTTCTTTGTTTGGATGTTTGTCCAGTGGCGCAACTATACCGTTTGAGACCCGTGGCAAATTCATCGGATATTCATTTTTTTTACTAATTGCGTAATAGTAAATATCAGGAGTAAGGAGTCTCCTTTGAGCAGGAGCCCGTTCCAGCTGGGGGCCCGTGGCATTTTGCCGACTTGCCACCCTGTAGTTACGCCACTTTGTCCGTCAATCACGCCGAAACTACTGAACGGATTTTGATGAAATATGGTAATAGGGTACTTTTTATCCCACTAAATATTTCCTTAGGGACCACACGGGTGAAGCCATGGGTGAAAGCTAGTTTTGACATAATTATGAGAACGTCTTGAAAATTTCCGCATTCACTATCGCGTTTAAATAAAGAACTCCATTTTATTGAACATTTATAAAATAGCAACTGGTTACTCCATTAACATAAAAGTTTTAACATTTAATTTTTCCAAAAAGTTACAATTCCATTGTCCAAGTGTACATCACACAATTAGCACAAATTAAACAAAAGTGATATTCACAAGTATACACACTTTGTTATCATTCTGTTAATTAAATGATACTACACGAAATTTCTTGCAACAAAGTTCCAGTTCTGCGGGACGTGGCTTCCCGCCACTGAAAATGTTACAAACAGTTGTTTGTGTAATATGAATATATTTGTATTTAATTTAGTCACCCGCTAAATAAATTCATTTTCTCCGTGCTCTGGATAGCGGTAAATCTAGAGGGTCCTTTTTCTTATTTCCGTGGCAAAACCAAAACTGGATTACTCTCTGCGCTCAGGATTTCGTATATTTTGTTTGTTGACAACGTTTCGCACCAGATGTAAGTATGAAAAACTACAACTTTTTTTATTTGTTACTGGCAATCTGTATAATTAAGGTATTTTATACCTAGGGAATAGAAAACTGGGGACGTTCCAGAAATGTATAAAAATTAATATTATGATCTGATATGAACATACTTTACCTAGGTAATGTATATAATTCGTAGGGATTATATAGAATACCTACACATACGCCGGCAATATGTAAAATAAATAGATTTTGGTCTATTTTTATCAATGTTTACTGGTTTACCTTATGATATTATACCTATTGGTCCTAGGATAGGATAGACATTTAAAATTTCAAGTTTATTTTTTTTTCCAAACCACTGAAATCACATAGCTGACAACTTTAGGGATTTATACTATTAGATAATTATAACCTACACGTTTGAGGTACTGTATACTTTACCTAGATATTTTATAGACTACCAGATTATACTGATTACCGTTAACGTATATAAATGTAATCATTGTCTATGTTTTGTTTAGATACCATCATGTATGGCATCATATTAAATCTATGATGGCTTCACATCAAATTATTATAGAATGTCAAATTTCACTAATAACAATTAAAATGATTTTTAGAAGTTTAACTTTTTGTAGTGGTTATATTTAACATGATATCAACTATACAAAGCTAGTACATATTAATCAATGTCTCTTATAAAATACTAGCTGTTTTCCTGTTATTTTGCCTTCATAAATCACCGGCATGTAGCTTCTAGGTGAAAGAATTGTTAAAAATTAGTTCTGTAGTTTCGGAACCAATACAATACAAGCAGTCAAATTCTTTTTTAGAATTTTAGTTAAATTCACGAGTAATAATAATTAAATATCGTAGAATCTTAGATGTCTTTTCATATTTTTTTTATCGAGAATATTTTATAAATTTTCAACCTGAACATGTCGTAGGAAGTATGGTTTATTTTAATGATTATTCTAATCAGCAATACTAATTTAATTAATTCGAATAAATTGACACAAATAACAATATATAATCATAATATAACTCGTTGACTTTGTAATATTCACGAAATCACGTGATGTAAAAGAGGTTGTAGTTAATTGCTTCATTGGTATTCATAAAATCAAAATAATTCATAAAGCTCGCGGCACAATGTCGAGAAAAGTGATGTGATAATTACCGATCTTTAGACAAATTCTCATGACAAAGTATAATTTACTTTTTGTTGTCATTTTCAATTTTTGGAAGATGATTCCAACGTACGAAACAAAAACGGGGCGTTCACATCTGGAAGCCTACTCTAATTCACCGAAAAACGAAATATCGTTCGAAATTTCGGACGTTCGTTCCGAATATTCAACGAACGAAAATAGTTTGACATATTTCTTTTCTAAACCTACTCTATTTCATGAAATAACGAAATGTACATTTGTATTTGACATCTAATTGTTCGGAATTCTTACCTCAAATTGACGAAGTAAAAAATGTTACCTTTTCATTTTCGTTAACAATTTTTTATTTTCGAAATGGGGTCTATATTACTTTTAATCGAACCCGCTCTCAGTGAAGAACGATTAGACTGTAGAAGAAATCGGCGGCGGCTTCGTAATAATCTTAATATAAGAAATATTTCCGACACTGAGTTTGTAAGTAATTACAGACTCAGTTGTGAATTATTTCAAGAACTATGCCAGGAGATCATACCTTTACTGCGTCCACAGGCAAGATCTTTTATCTTAGTTCTCGATAAAAAATTGCATGACTACTACTATTATGCATTTCATATTTTTTTTATTCTTACAACGTTGAATTTTTATGCCCAAGGTAGTAACCAAGGATCCGTATCTCAAATCATGGATGGGCCTATGAGGACTGTCCTCAATTTACCAGATAGGTATAATAAGAAAATATATTATTCCCTCAAAACTAAAATGAAAGGAATCTAATTAAGACACAGTGAGTACCAAATAGTTTATTGTTTATTTTGGCTTTATGTATGAATTGTGAATAAATACCTATAGAATTATGTCATTAATATTACAGATTTTACGAAGCATATAGACTATGCCATTATAACTGAAAAATATGACTGATAAAAAGTAAATTTATTACGAAAAATCATTTATGGGCCGAAAAACTAAATATTAGTTTCATACTTACTTATAAAGTGTTTTACTGTTGTTTTTAAATATGTCGGTTAGTACTGTCGATGAATGAGTTCTTTATAGTGTCTTGATCAGTTGTATCAAAAAATAAAATTTATAAATATAATTAGTTTTTCATTATATTATCGTAATATTTTATATTTAAACAATGTTTAGTCACTAAAATTTAATTTAAAAGAAATATATGTATTGTTTAATATTATATATTTCAAGTTACGGTAAAAACCGGAATTGACATTATAAGAAATCCAATTCTTATAATGTCAAAATATCATTCACTCCAATCGATCACGAAAATTGTCTTTGGAATCGAACATTCGTTGGTATATACGAAAATAATAAAGAGTAGCGTTACATGCGAAATTCCGTTTTAATTTCGTTCGTAAACGAAATTTCGTTTTCGAGAAAGCGAGTAGGCCCCCTGCTCTTTATGCAATTCAAAACTTTTAATACAAAGGCAAGATATATTTTGTTTCAATTCGTTTTCCATTTTTTCTGTATTATTCGGCAAATACCCATTTTTTTTAAATATCAAATTAACGTTAAGTGTATCAAATAAGCACAGTCAAACCTGAATAAGAGAAAACTTGGTAAGCGAGAATATATAATGACAGGAAGAGTCATGTTCCAACGTTTTAACCCTCTAAACCTCTATAAGTGAGAAAAAAACTTTAAAAAAACTTTA